ATAAAAATAAGAGAGAATCACAAATTAGGATAATAGATTCAGAATTATTACTCTTTTTAATCATACCAAAATGTATTTATTAGAAAGGAAATAAAACCTATAAGATTTTTAAAAGGAAACAAAAGTATATTTTTTTCTTTTGATTTTAAAAATTCAACTTAAAATCATGGATAAAATGATATTTTAGTTTCCTTCGTAAAAATTATAAAAATTATATTTTTTCTAATCAGTACATTTTAGTAGGATAGCAAAAAGTAATAATTCTAGGTCCATTATCTTGATTTTATTTTATTTCTTTAGTTTATTTTATTAAAATTTATTTCCCCAATATTTACAAATTTTAATAAAAGTATGAAATTAAATCCTATTAAAATTAAACCTATAAATTATTGTTAACAAAAAAAAAAGAAATAAAATATATCAAAATAATTTAAATATATTTATAAAATTTATAATTTTTTTTGAAGCAAAATGGAAGTATCATTTTTTCCTTGATTTAACAAAAATTCGACTTAAAATTAGAGGAAAAATTAGTACCTTATTTTCCTTCATAATACTTACAAAAATTTTATTTTTTAATAAATACATTTTGTTATGATAGCAAAAGGTTAGAAATTTTATTTCTTTTTAATTTTATTTTATTAAAATTTATTTCCTAAATAATATACAAATTTTGATAAAAAAATATAAAATTAAATCCTATTAAAAGTAAAATTAAAAATTATTTTAACAAAAAAGAAAGAAATGAATTACACTCATATACTATTGACTCTGAAGTGATTGACATTTATTTTCACAAAAAAAAAAAAGAAAAAGTTTGTATATATTACTAAAATTTACATTCTAGCTATAATTTAAAATTTAAACAGTAGGGAAATTATGCTCACTTGTTAATTGATCTTGAATGAATTTTTTCTAATAAAATATTTTCTCAAGAGATTATAATGGTAAATAAGTTTGTTGTGTTAGATTGACATAATGTTAGAGAGTTTCAAATTATACTAGCAATAATTTACAAAAAAGTATATTCTAAAATTATTAATTATTATTTACCTTTGTTTATTAAGTGTTAAAATATTATTTGAGTTTAAAAAAAATTCTAGTTTTATTCCTAATAGGATTTAATTTTATATTTTTTGATCAAAATTTATAAAATAAGGGAAATAAAATTTAATAAAATAAGAGTAAAGAAATAAAATAAATCTTGGTAGACAAAAAATTATTACCTTTTGCTATCATACTAAACTATTTTTATTAGGAAAAATAAAAATTTTAAAATTATTATGAAGAAAATTAAAGCGCCATTTTGTCCTAATTTTAAGTTGAATTTTGAAAACTAGGGGAAAAATGATAATTGCATTTCTTTCTTAAAAATTTTAAAAGTTTTATTTATTTTGTAATAAATATGTTTTAATATGATAGTAAAGAATAATAATTCTAGATTTATTACCTTAAGTTGTAATTATCTTTTTTTATGCAAAATTTAATTAGAGGACCACATTAACACTATTTTAAAAGGTTTAAGATTATTATGAAATAAATTTAAAGATTAAAGACAAAAGTGCCACCTAAATAAAAGGTTTGGAACTACAAATACACTCTACTCCGTCTAATTAATTTATATTTATTTTATTTTCAATTCAGTAGGTCATATAATAATGTCTAGTTTCTAATTTTAGATAAAGAAACTAATTAATTAAATTCCCTAATTTTAATTTTGCATAGATATTTATTTACCATCAAATATCCCAACTCAAATTTCTAGTTAAATTTTAAATTTTAAAGTTAACGTGTACCATTACTTAGGCCAAAAAAAGTTAAAAGTGTACGAATTTTTTTGGCCAATTAATGTGTACTATTGACTTGAAATAATTATAAAAAAAGGCATGAAACTTGAGATTGGTGGATCCTTGAATGATCTTTGACTTGAGATGATTAACTTGAAACAATAAATGATGAATCATAAACACAAACAACGATTTCAGTCAAATTTTCAATTTTGTTGTGATGTCAAATGTACTTAAAATATGAAAATTTATCATATCAACATTTTTATCATAGAATATATATTTTTATTTATATCAAATTCATATATAATTTTTATTAAAATTTTAAATAATATTATTTTCATATTTTTTTTATGTTATTGACACGCAATTTTATCTGCAATTTTTTTGATATTATTGAGTCTCAAATTATATTATGATATTAGTTTTAAAAGACATTATATTATATCATATATAATATTATATTACAACATCATAAAAATATCGTAAGTGGATGCTTGGTAAATAACCTATATTATTGATATGTGAAACAGTTCTAAATAATTTTATTCAATCAATTATTCAATTTTTAAAAATTTTAAAATTTACATTTATCTAAAATTTTCAAAGTATATAAGTTTTATCCTAATTTAAATCCAAAAAATATATCTCATACCTCACTCTTTCCTATATATATGAAATACAAAATTCAAATAGTTTTTAAATGTTAAATCTCTAAATCTTAGGAGTCATAAAAATCATACATCATCTAAATTAATATTTATATAAATTTGAGTTAATAAAGTTTGTAGTTGAATAACTGTTGTTTACCAATTTTTTATCTCTATTTTCCTATGATGTAAAATAAAAAAAATATATTTTATCTCAATTTAAAATTACACATATTTAAATTTAAAATTATATTTAGACCAAATTATTCACAATTTTATCTTATAGTTAAAATCATAAATATTGATTTAAACCTACAATCATATTACAAAATAGTACATTTCTTCTTAGAAAAAAATAAACAGTTATCATGTAATAATTTAAATATAAGCATTCAATCACAATTCATAAGCTGCTTTTCTTTTGGTAATTTTGGAGTTTGAATAGTATTTATATTGGTCTTGAAATGCCAAATTTAATTATGAATATTGTGAATTTATTTGTTTTTATAAAAAAAATTTTGAATTCAAAAGCATATAAATAATAATCTTTACATCCATTAATTGGATGGTAAATCCTAATTATTAGGGTAAATTTCTTTTTATTTTCATTGAAATTTCAAATTAAAATTACTATCCAAAAAATTTTAAAGAAAAACAAAATTAAGGTTTTCAGCCTATAAATAATATGTCACATATGTAAATCTTAGTTTTCACACTAAAATAATATAATTTTTTAAAAGTGTATGTAATTATAAATAAGATACTGACTTTTTTATTAAGTTTTGTATGTAATTTTACTTTCATAACTCAAAGAAATTTTATTGAAATTAATTTTTTTCAAAACTTGCATAATGCTAATTTGATTCTTTTATAATAGTTTATATATAGATTATTTTTGTAATTTTTGAATACAAATTATAGATGATTATAAATGTTTTTATTTATATAAAAAATTTAAAATTATGAAAAGTATAATATAAAATTTCGTGCATGGCATGGGTAAAAAATTTAGTTTATAAATATAAATTTAAATGCCCAAAAGTATTGTTTTTATTTTTATTTATGGTAAAAAATAACATAAATTTTGATTTTTTTAAAAAGATTATGATTTTATTTAGATTTGAAATTCAAAGATTGAATTTGATTTTGGTAATTCTTAGTAATCAATTTTTTACAAAGAAAGAAAATAAATTTTGATAAGATCTTATTGATTCAGTTGGCATATAAAGTTTTCAAATTAAAAAGAGATTCAATCTATATATAAAGAGCCCAATTCTCAATCAAAAATCACTAACAATAACCAAAAAAAAAAAGTAATTGACACAATAAATAGAACAAACACAAAATTTTGAGTTTTGAGGGAGAAAGAGGCTAAGAGAAGTTTGTAGTTGAAATTTGAAGAGTTTCTTGGGATTTTGAAAAGTAGAAAAGGAGTTGATTAAGACTGATGGCATATCCAAAACTAATAGTTTTTCCTTAAATTAAAATCCTAGGTATAATTTTTTGCCTTTTTATTTCATGTATATTTATTTATTTATTTAGTTTATTCCATTCTATTTATTTGTAGATACATGTTCTTTTATTTTTTATTTTTAATTTCGTTATTTTCTTTTTTGTTAGTATATATATATTTTTTGAAAAATAATAATGAAAAATTAAAAAATTATTGATGTAAGTTTTGATAATGTGAATTTAAACATTCTTTGTATAATATTTTTGTTAGATTATTTGTAATTAATATTTTTGTAAAAAAACAAAAATGGTTGTGAATAATTTGATTTATTATAAGATGTTTAATAAATTTGATGATAAAACCTCTTTAAGTAAACAACTAATTTATCTTGAATATTTTTTATGTGAAGAAAAAAAAATTTTTAGTGAAAGCCCAAAGATTTTTTTCTAATATTTAAATATCAAAATTAATAAAAATAAGAAATAAAAATCATTTGAATTAAGGTTTAAACAAAATAACATGTAATTAATTTGGTATCAATTTTAGGCATTGTGAGAATACTAAAATTTTTCCTACATGTAACGGATTTTTGAACTTAGGTCTATTGATGTAAACCATAACTTATTTTTTTAAAGACTCTTAATCAAATTTAAAATAACTTTTAAAAAAATAAATATACAAAAGTAATCAATCACACCTAGATAAAAAAATTAGTGACAATTCTATATTTTTAATATCTAATGAGTAAATTCTTGAACTTAAACATTATGACACATATTATGATATTGTATCACCATGTTATATTTAAATTTATCATACAATTGCGGAGTTGAATTGGATTCATGTTAGGACGGATTTTTTGCATTTGGATTAGTCTTGCAATCTCTAACCAATAGTCAGCCCTTGGGGATGGGATGTGTAACATACTCAAATGTACTAGATGAAAGTTGTATTGGAAGGCCATACATGATCGTATGCTTGCATGCCTATACTAATAATTATTAGTATATAATGTTGTTTAATTTCGTCTCATTTTACTTGTTCATATTTTACTTTTATGAATTTTTTTCTAAAAAAAAAATTGAATTTTAGTGTATCATATAAGGTCACAATCATTCAATTAATAGAGAGGGAAAGGAAAAAAATTGATATTAGAATTTGGGGGTAGCATATGTTTGATTTTAGTTAATGTTGCAAAGAAGATTTCCTTGAGGCAACAATTAACAACAATGATCGATCCTAGCCCAATTGAGAGAGAAAACATACAGAGAGAATATAAAGAGAGTAGTGAATAATTAATATACAAGCTAGAGTCCAAATTATTATATTATTATTGAAAAAGCAAGCAGATAAGAGGAGAACTAGAAGTTGGAAGTAGGGTTGAGCCATCGGAAGAAGCTTTGGAGGGTAGCAACGTCAGCTCGATAGTGGTTTTGAGTGAACTCCAACAAATCGGACCATGTGAAATCAGGGTACTGTCTTGGCCCTTCTCTGCATACTAGATCTTGTGGGGGTCTCACTACTTTGTCCTCTTTTGGGCACACAAAGTATACCAATGATCTCCTCTCTCTCTCCCTGTTCACCACGGCCCTATGCAGGCAGCTCTTGTATCTCCCATTACATAATGCCTGCAACCACAATTTCCTTTTTTTTATTATTTTTGGTATTCTTATTATTACTTGTTACCCATAAATTTATGTCATTTAAAATCTTAATCATTATATCAAATTATCAACAGTAAACAATTAATTAATGCCATTACCTACCTCCACCATACGTCTATCTCATTACACAGTCACTAACTTCAGAAACCATGTAGACAAATTCTTAGTATTAATTTTCAACACCTTTAAAATATCATAAATATCAGGTCATACTCATTATTATGAAGCAGCACTATTACTATAGGAAAGTAACAATGCAGAAGGGAAGGGCATTGAATGATGAAAGCCTTTTTTTTTCTTTTTTGTATTTTTGGGGAAACTAATTACCATGAAAGTATCACCAATGTTAATGACTAGGGCATCTTGTCGAGGTCGGACTGCTTGCCATTTGTTATTGATGAAAACTTCGAGCCCTCCAACTTGATCTTGGTGAAGTATTGTTAAGGAAGTTGGGTCGCAGTGAGGGCCAGTGCCAAGGGTGAGACAAGAATTATTGCAGGGGGGATAGTAGTTACACCTCATTATTGAATTACCGTCTTCGAAAAATTTGCCATAGTGGAAACGATCAACTCCTAAGCTGATTGCCAGGAGCTCGAAAATGACTAGAGACAATTCCCTCATTTTTTCACAATAGTTTTGGTAAACCCACCTTCAAAAATCAACATGTATAACGTTATTGTTAAGGAGCTGCACACTTTTGTTTTATATATATATATATATATATATATATATATATACACATATAATATATGTATAATATATGGTAATACGGTCAGAAATATTTCAGAATTTGTTTGAGCTTAATTTTGTTTTCAAACGATTTTAAAGGCACGTTATCTCATATCGTCTTAGTGCATCAAGGATTTTCCCTCCTACCGTAGGATTAATAAGGCTTTGTTGTAATTTACAAATGAGCATTAATAAAGTCTTACCCGGTGCGCTCAAACTCTTCCCCTAAAGTAGACCTAAAATAATGAACCACAGCAGGGTCGGAGTTAGTTCCCTGGTACCCGAAAGAAAATGTTTCCTTCCATGGCAACTTGGAGGAAAATCGGTCCGCATGGGCAACAGAATAGCCTGAAAAACCACCTGGCTTTCTTTGGAAACTGCGCTTCTTGTTAAGGGGTAACTTGAACACTGCATCAATTTCTTGGTAGGCAGCGTGGATAAGATTTGCGTCGACACCATGGTTGGTAACTTGGAAGAAACCATGGTTCGAGCAGGCAGTCCTGACAAGCTCCACTGCATGGGCAGTAGCCTCCTCATCTCCTTTGATGAACCCTTCCAAGTCTATCAAGGGCTCGTTAAGCTCTTCCTGAGTGTGAACCAGGTCCCCACAAGGCCAAATGAACTCTGCGGGTATTTTTGCTTGTTTTTGCAAGTTTGATGAGTCGAAAAGGACACCATTTTCATCTCTTGGTTCCATGGAAGGACGTAAAAGAAGGGTCGAAGAACTCGAATCCATTAGGAGAGAGAGAGACATTTCAAAGAGAGTGTTTCCAAAACTTATAAAGATGTCTTAAAGAACACAAAGCTAAAGAGAAAGTGAGTAGTACTAGGGAACAAGAGCACAACATATATACAGATAGAGAGAGGAAAAAAGAAATTTTCTTTTTTTTTTTAAAGAAAATAGGATAATAATATATAAATATATAATTCAAGGAGTAGATAATTATTAAGATAAATTGATTAATGATATTAGAAATCAATTGAACGAGAACAGTAGTTATTATATATCCAATTTAAAATTACATAGAGGCTTAACTTTGAATATCATATTATAGAAATTTTGAAAAATAAATATAAAATAACACCACTAAGCATTCTCTCACATGTTATCCTAATATTAAAACAAAAAGACATATCACATAAAGATTTATATTTGATGTATTATCAATGTATAAATATTATATATTATTAGTACAACACAAAATTACTACATCATTAATGACTAAAAGTAAAACTTAGGCTAAAGGGTCAAAATTGTCCTTGAATTATAATTCAATAATTACTTAAATTCTTAACATTTTATTGCTATCACTCAAATCTTTAATCTTCCAATTCAACTCAGTTGAATCTTTAAATGGACCTCATTGCATGATAAAATTTAATTAATCAATTCTCTAATTGCAGTCAATTCAATTTTTGAAGGGATCTTAGAGAGAGAGGCATAAAAAACATAGAAGAAAAAAGAAAAAGAAAGAAGAAAAATTATTTTATTTAATTTCTACATATATTAATTATGTCATGTGTCAAACTTTCATCTAATCTATTGATATCACATAAAATTTTATCTTAATTGACAAAAAAATTAACTGTTTAATTCAAATAAGGGTTTTTTTTAATATAAATAAATATTGAAAAGATTTATTGAATGCAATAAAAAATAAGAGTTTAAATGATTTTTTTAATTATAGTTAAGGGTTTTTTATACTCTTTAATCTAAAACTTAAAGACCTTAAAAATTAAATATCATAAAATATTGAATTAAAAGATATTTTTAAGGACTCTAAAATTTGAAATTTGCTAATAAATGATGCTGATAATTTGTGATGCATAGATAGAATATAATATTTATATACTGACGGTATATTAAATATAAATTTTATTACATAATAAACTCACAAACAGAAACAAAAACACAAGGAAACGTATTCTGATATCATGAAAACCATTTAACTTATAATTAACTAATATTAAATAAAAAATCCAATTTAAAAATAAAACCATACAAACACCCAAATTGAAGATGTTGGGTGACAGTAGTAATGAATAAGGAGAGAAAGGCCAAGGGCCGTCCATTGGTAAGGTCGAAGGCTAAGGTTGGAAGATTGTTATTTAAGGAGCGAACAACTCATGAGACGAGTGGACGAACGCCCTTTAACCTATTTGGTCACTTTCTTAATTTGAAAACAAAAAACATACAATCACCATGCAGCTGCAGCTGCCTCCAGTCGCTATCCCTTTATTTGTTTTCTTCCTACCTCTGTTGTCTCTTCTTTTAATTAAAATTTGCTTGCTCCCAAGGACCCCATTTTCCTTTCCTTTCCGTTCGTTTCCTGTATGCATTGTTATTTTAATTATATGCCTTCCTTAATTAATTTGGTATCTTGCCTTTAACATGGATAGCAGCTTGAAAGGTGACACATTTGCATAAAGACACTCGAATTCTAGTTAATTCCTTCACCATTATATATGGCTAAAATTCATCCTTGAATTCATGCTTTGTAAGCACTAATAATTACTACTTTTTCTTATATAATTAGTAAACAAAATGGTTTCCCGATTTCCTCTAATTTTTTAAGCGATAAAGGATTTTTTAATTTTACTCAGTATTTTTTTAAGCCGATTTAAACAGATTTATCTACATCTGATTTAATGAATTCAAAAAAAAAATTTATCTCTCCACAACGACTTTGAACCCCCCCCCCCCCCCACCGACAAAAGAAAAACTCTTTTTTGTCACTTGAATCAGTTGGCTGATATCCATGGACACTATTTAAGATGATATACATATATACATTATTACTTATTCCCTTGTGATTCAATGTTTATAAAAACATTTTCTCAAGCTCAGTTTGTCCCTTAATTGATTCACTAGTAGTTTTTTATTTTCTAGAGGAGATGTACATGTCACTATCAGCAATAGCATTAACCGCTCTTAAAATTGTTAAATCCTTCTTTAAAAAACAATAATCACAATAGAATTGCCGTTCGTGCTAATGTTACGATCCATCTATATAATGTTATCAACTGTCATACAAACCTAACAGTTTCTAGTCATTATTCTATATAACATATATCGTTTGTGACACTTAAAAATAGGCAGAACTCTACCAATAATTTTTAAAAGATTATTCAAAGTATTTGTACAATGTAAACTCACCTTCTCATAAATTTTGTATTATTCTATCCATAAGAGTCATTGTCTTCGGTCTCTTTCAATTTATTCAATAGTATTAAGATCATCTTTAAAATATTCGATACTTTTAATATACTCATCTCTTTATGTTTATCTATATATATATTGTGACAACTCTAGTATGTATAATTGATTAGAAAATATATATCTACTTCATTTTTAAACTCTTTTTTTTTTTTTTAAATACATGTATATTTAGTTTTAATTTACTTATATAAAAGAACTTATCCATTAGATACAAATATATGCAGTTGTCACCAATTTTTTTTATCTAAGTATGATTAATTTTTTAAGTGAATCTATTCTTTTTAAAGTTATTTTAATATTAACTAAGGGTTTTTAAAAAGAATAGATTTTGATCTACATCGACAGAATTAGATTCGGAAGTCAGTTATATGTAAAGAATGTTTGGACACCCCCAACACTCAAAATTAGTATCAAATTAGTCTTATGTTATCATATCTAAGCTTTAATTAAAATGATCTTTATTACTTATTTTTATTAATTTTAATATTTAAATATTATAAAAAATATTTAGGTTTTTACCAAAAAAGTTTTTTTCTTAGCTCAAGAGTATTCAAAATAAAACTCATTATTTACTTTGAGATACTCTATTGTTGGATTTATTAAATATCTTGTAACAAAGAAACTGATCTATTTCCTTTTATTTATTTACAAATATTAATTACAAATAATGGTGCAAACATATATACAACTTTCTAATCATAAAATAATATATTTACACTTATCTAAAAAATTTCAATTCAAAATTTTTTCATCCATTAAATCAATATATCAATAGGTAAAAAAATCAAAACAAAAAACAAATAATGAATAAATAAATAATAAATGAATAAATATGTAAAAAAAAACTAGCAAATCAAAATAATTTCATAAAAAAATTATTATCACAAATTTTATCCCAAGTTATATTAGACAACAAATAAATATAACATCATAATAAATAAATAAAAAAAAAAGGAAGTATACTTAACTAATGCTCTTGGATCAACCCAAAATAAAGTCTACTGCCAAAAAAGTTTTTGTTTGACTCTACTTGCTTTAATGTTACATGGCCTTTTCTTTTTTTTTCTTTGTGATTCTTCTTAATTGTTATTGATTGCTTAATTGCTTGTTGCCTTACTCAATTACTGTTCACCTCCCTTTCCAATTGGTTATTGATTTTCCTTCTCTCTCTACTAAAAAATTTTTCTCTCAAAACTCAAAATTTTGCGTTACTTAATAATTGTTGATTATGTTGCTTCTTGTCTTTTTGAACTTGGAATGAAAATTTTTATATAAGGATTGAATATTTTTATACAGGGATTGAATTTCTTTTCAATTTGAAAAATTTTAATACCAATTGAATTATCAAGATTTTGTCAAAATTTAAATTTCAAAAAATTATCAAAATCAAACTCAATCTTTAAATTTCAAATCTAAAAAAATCATAGTCTTTTCAAAAAGTTAAAACTTACCCAATAATATATATATATATATATATATATAAAGAAAAAACTCCAAACAAGATTGAATTCTACATAAATACTTCTCTTTTCGTCCAACTTTATTCCATTTATTGAAATATTTGGTACATAGTCCAACTTATTGATACTATACTTGATTTTTTTTTTTTTTGAATTTCTTAATTTAACCCTAATTCTTTTGTTTTATATTTCGATGAAAAAGACATTACGCATTGATTCAAACATCAGTCGATGATACTACACTTGATCAAAGTCCAAAGAAAAGAAAGGTATAAGACAAAATGCATGGTTTACAAGATATATGGTTCAAAAAGGAGGGTAACAGGTTTTGAGAATCAATTTTCGAACTCCAACATTTGTTTGTCTTGTACATGGCACAAGGGGCATGTGACCACCCTTTTCTACACGCTAGGCCAAAACTGTAAGGCCAGCTGACATATGAACGATGTCTTTGTTAATCACTCTATCAGCAGTACTGCCTTAATTTCTAGAGTTAATAAAGGACCCCATTAATTTCCGGATATATTACTTTATTATTTATTTATTTAATTTTTACTTTTAGATGTAAAAGTAAAAGTATGTTTAGATATAAAACAAATTAATAACAATTTTTTGACGAATTAATTTTTAAATTTTATTAATTAGAGAAAATTTTATGATTTTTCTTTATATGAAACAAATATATATATATATATATATATACTGTATAGAGACACACCTTATATTAATAACTTTGAGTAAGAGAAATTATTAAATACATTGACATTAAATTTTTTTAATTTCATAAATAAAATTAAGATAGTATCACATGTTTCTTAATATATAATTAAAAAATAAAAATTTAATTTTAAAAAAAAGAGATATGTGTTACCATCTTAATTTTATTTGTTAAGTTAAAAAATTTTACTATCAATATATCAAATAAATTTTCTTTGAATAATTAAATACTAGTAAAAAAAATCGACTGCTTTTTAAATACAAAATTGTGCATTTTCACATGGGTCATACAAGGTCACTAAACAGAGGAGCTAAACTGAAAACATCACGTAGCTAAGGTCAACTGAAATGGAAAGTCCTCCGAGATAATTGCTTTTTTTTATTATTATTATTTACAATATTTTAGGA